TGTTAACGAAAGGATAAACTCGTACTTGCATGTTCCTTCCATTCATTTTTGACATAAACATCAATATTGAATCAATTCAAAGAGAAATGACATTAAAACGGATAAATAAAGTTATTAGAACAACTTTTATAAGCAGCCACTATACCACATGAACCATGCCTTTAGGCAATATATGAGGTCAAATTTCAAGTGGAATCTATGAAAATATAAAATTTAATAATTTTTTGATATTTCATTAAAGAAACGCCATTCCAAGTTTTTTATTTCCATTTGTAATCATAATTGTTCGACCACCCTGTATGAATAGTTAACAAAAATGTTATTTTAAAACTATCAGAATAGTCGGCTACTTTTTAATATCTGCAAACAAACAAATTCACAACATCTGATTAGAATCTGTGATAAAAGTTGTATTGTTTCATTAAATCAAGTTAACATCTACTTTTGGTATCTGATATTTCTAAGATTTTATTGGAGTTTTCCTATAAATATCAATACGCTGTTGAATTTGTTACAAAAATTGTTGTTCTCAAGTTTCCTATATAAAGCGATGTAGCTTCCACAAAAACTGCAATTTCTTCAAATATATCAACTTGAGAAGATGTTTAACAAAATGTCAAACAAATTGTTTGAGCCACTATTAATATGACTGAATGAAAAGATGCGTGTCAATTCGACAAAAAATTCAACTTTTTTCATACTTCTACTTCGTATATACATTTTTGTATTAACTATCAGTATTATTGAATTATCCGATGTTTTTCGGTTTATTAGCCGTGGTCTACACGTTTTTATACCTGGCGATTCATCCGCTAAACAACAAAGGTCAAAGTGATCTACTTTGCTGCGATGCTCAAACTGAAGATGGTCTTGGTGTTTGGGTATGCACAAACAAATTCATAGTTCAATTCATGTAGTTTTGCCATTGTTTTGATTGACTTGTGATACGGTGAAACAGCCATATGCGCTAGTTCTTTGCAATTCAGGCCTTTAAGCGCTCCATTAACGCTATATATTATATATATATATAAAGCTATATATTATATATATTGATGGTATTTCCCTTCTCACGATGATCGATGAATATTACACCACGCATTTCCCAAAATACCGAGGCCATAACGTTTCCAGTCGATTGTTGTGCTTTCGGGGCCTTTGGACAAGTTTCACCAGTTGCTCTCCACTCAGATGGTGATCGTTTCGATTCCGGAGTGAAGTGATAAATCCATGTTTCATCCATTTTCACATATCGACATATCCCGTTATGTTCTGTTTGAAAATGGACAAATACTGCTCAGAATCAATAAGACATTTTAATTTTTGGTCTACAGTAAGCTCGCGCGGCACCCACTTTGAACAGAGCTTCCTCATAGTCAAATGCTCATGCAATATAAAGCCAACAGCATTTTTCATATCTTTACAATGTCAGCTAACTCACGCAACTTCACTTTTCAAACATTAAAAACAATTTTGAGGGTTTTTCATGTTTTCTGGTGTTACTGCCTCATTTGAACGTCCACTGCGTTCTGCATCATCATTATAAGTAGAATATCATGAAATGTCAACAACTGCCTTTTGAAGGTTAGTACTAACGAATGCGATAAGACTAGCGCCATCTATGTGTTAAGCCTGAGACTTTTCATCCCAAGTAGCATACCCAGAAAAGCGCGTTTTAAAGTTTTTTCAGGTGGTTCCGAATTGAGAAGAATCACAACTATACGATATTCGGTATACTCCTCGGGTACTCAATTGATCCTTGGGATCTTTTGCTCACCTGAAACTGTTTTATATCGTTCGTGAGGGCTGGAAGATGGCTCTAACTCCATGTTTTTCGATGATCCTTCCAATTATACAGAATAGTGTGACAGACCACTTCAAACAGGCCATTGACAGGCCATTCCAGAGCCAGCAAGGACGATTGAGAATAGTCTCAGGTCAACAAAAGTCCTCAGGGATCCATTGAGTTACCCCAGGAGTATACTTAGTACCGTCCAGTTGTTGTTCCTTCTACGTCGGAACTATCGGAAGAAGTTATCGCTATGGCAGCCACTCCGACTGTTGCTGCATAACCTTTCATAATGTCTGTCGCAATAGCAGGCAAACATCAGGTATATTCGTACTAGAAAAGTGCGTAAATGAACTAGCACCAGTATTTTGTTGATTGTTTTACCTGTCTCACAAGGAAGGAGCTTTTCCTTCTTGTTGGAAGATTGCTAGCGATCAGTCTATTCCCAAAAAGGGTAAGAACTTTTCCAAATAACTATAGACCAGTTTGCTATCAGTAATATCAAAAATCATTGGCAAAACCGTAAACCACCATATCCTTGAATATTTGGAAGGCTTCAACGTCTTGAGCGATCATGAATATGGCTTTCGGAAACAAACATCAACAGGCGACCTTCTACCGTATGTCACCCATATTTGAAATAACGCAATCGAGGAACATGGAAAGTCAGGAGCTGTTGCGCTTGATATTTCTAAGGCCTTCAACCGTGTGTGGCATGAGAGTTCACTGGCCAAACTTCGATGCTATGGCCTGTCAGATCATTTTTGTGTTTGGCCCTCCAACTTCCTGAAATAGCATTTCCTGCAAGGGGCCGTCGATGGATATCTCTCGAACATTTTTAGCATCAACACTGGTGGTTCCCAGGGATCCATATTGTCTCCAACCCTCTTTTTACTGTATATCAACGACTTATTGAAAAAAACAAAAATCTAATATATTGCTTTGATCACGACAGCACACTAAGTTCCATTTAGAACTTAGAACATCGGCTGCGGATACACATCTTCACCGGCAGCAGGAGGTTGCATATCTTAATGGGGATCTAGAAGTACTTTAGAATTGTGGTGAAAGTAACCAGGTATGACATGAGAGTTTACTGGCGAAACTTCGATGCTATGTCTTGTTGGATCTTTTTTGTGTATGGCTCTCCAGCTTCCTGAAATAACGTTTCCTGTAATGGCCGTATACTTTCACCATCAACGCTGGTGTTTGGTGTTCGCCAGGGCTCCATATTGTCTTCAACCCTTTTTTTATTGTACATAAACGACTTTTTGGAAAAACCAATAACCCAATATATTGCTTTGCTGACGTCAGCACACTTGTCTCGTCATTCCATTTGGATTCCAGGACATCAGCTGCGGATGCACATCTTCACCGGCAGCGGGAGGTTGCATATCTCAATGAGAATCTAGAAGTATTTTCGAATTGTGGTGAAAGTAACATGGTTCAACTCAATGCCACTAAAACCCAAGCATTGGTTTTCTCCGAAATGATAACTGTGTTCAAACAGACAGGACAGACAATTCCGCTACTTGCTTCGATAAGTCTGTTGGAGGTTAAAATGGACCAATATGGCATGTCACAATCATGTTGTTGGAATCGCAAAGGTTGCTTCTCAAATGATTTGTCCATAGAGTCGTATTCTACTTATTATACTTTATATTTGAAACTTTGGACTTTCATTTTCTCTTGGACTGAGAAAAATACCATCCTAGTAGAGTAATATGAAGTTAAGAGAACACAAACAAATAAGAGACCTTTTATCAATCTATCGAGAAGAGAATAGTGAGTGAAAAGCATTTCAATTAAGATTAAAATTCAGTTCTGGAACCACACAATGAGAGAGAATGTAAGTAAGTATACCAAATGATCAGATTTGAAAAAGACCGGCCTTCGTGCGATCGGCACGAACTCTACAGCTTCTTCGGACCTGCCTTGATATTCAAAATTTGATGCGGAGAAATCTGCATCTGGTGACAGCGCTGCTAAAATTCATTTCAGAAAATAAATGAAGGAGAAACGAGCTAGAAAGCTCCTATACTCGAAACTTTGAAACCTTCAGTTTCCTTCGTTTTCTCTTGCCCTGAGAAGAGGACCATATTATTACACCAACGTGAATCGCTACTTTCGCACAGACCGCTCTTAGAGCCCATGTAGAGCTTGTGTTTAAAAAAATCACTCTTTCAGAGGACAACCACTTCAACTGTTGCCACATCGCCTTTATGATGTCTGCCGAAGTTAAGTAAAACCAATAATGATTTAGAGTAAAGCGCGTTGTCATATCTAAATTTTACGTTACCAGTTTTAACAGAATCAAAATATAGTAAGCAGTAGAGTTGTAGGTTGTGGCAAATTATAGATAATACACAGTACTAGTACGATTAAAAGGTATCATTCATGACAAAAATCAGTATTGAGCTTGTAATGAGTAATACTTATACATTTCCTGATTACTGATCAGTTAAAATGCATTATTTTCTGTATAGTGTTAGATATTTATTCCAACTAGTGGCAACGATGTACGCAACGATATTTCTGTCTTTGTCACTTTACCGTAACTTCCATCTCATCGTTGCAGTCCTCAATGTACTATTCGATAGTCGACGTTTCGCCATCATCTCAGATGACATTATCAAGACGAGTTACTGCTTCGCTTCGACTCTCATTCTTAACAGTTACACCTCTCGAAGCGAAGCAGTAACTCGTCTTGATAATGCCATCTGAGATATATATTGTGTTTTTTATTAATATTGTTAATTTATTTGGTACCTACTATAATTACCACGATTATTACTACGTTTTCATAAGGCTCACCTAATGACTACAACGATTAGGTAAATTACGATATTGCAAAGTTTTATTGAAATAAATGAAAAATGTGTATGAATATTTCAACTAATTGTACTAAGAATTTTTCTTTCCTTCTTAACCCTCTCAAAAATTAATAAGCACGCCCCCGATTTGCTGTCAACTGGGCTTACTTCTACTCTAAATCATTATTGGTTTTAGTATAGTAGACGAAACGTCAGGTTCAAATACCTGCAGACCACGGCTAATAAACCCGGAAATATTGGACAAATTGTTCAACATCGTTCGTCAAAGCCGACATACCATGTCAATATTTTCATTTAAATATCCTGTTTCATTCAACAAACTTCAGTTAGACTGTATTTTAATCGAATCCGGAAAAGCTTTGAAGTAAAAAAAGGTCGGCTTTACTTTTTTATAAAATCTTTTAATTTTTTTTTCTGAAAGGATTTTTCACCGGGGACTCCATTAATTCTAAATAATCACATCATCACAATCACAAATAGAAACCAATGTGACAGGCATGATAAAACCATTCCAATAGCCATCATATAAAATCCTATACTTTTTTTCTCACTTACTGAGCTCAGGATATTTTCATTTCGAGAATAGAATTTAAAATACTAGTCTAGTCAACAAACTCTTGTAGGAAGCATAAGGTATCATCGACACGAAAGTAATCTTACTATTCTAAAAAGTAATATCACACTATGTGTAAAACCAACTCAAATATCACTTGCTGACAACGTCAGGGTTATAGTTTCTGGAATTTTTCATATTCTTCATAGTCTTAAGTTCCCTAGTACCCGTATAAGTAAAAGGAACGCCACAGTTACTCAAAGGGTGGTTATCTAGAGGTATGGGACTCACAGGTGTAACAACCCCACTATCATCAGATTTGGTGAGGGATACTTCACTATTTTCGAATTCCATTTCTTCGTTGAATGATCTTTGGTTAACAGTGGTATTAGAATTCAATTCATTCTCGAATTGTTGGATTGTGATATCTATTCTGGCGTTATTCAAATTGCTATTCTGAACGTTCAATTTTTGTTGCAATATATTGTTGTGGCTATTGGAGAAAAATTTTGAGGTTTTTTCCGTCGAACTGGGAGGGGATGTTTTCATCCCATTCAGAACATTGTCACCGAACTCACTTTGATTGACGTTGGACGGTACGTTCATTTTCCCAGTACTCTGAGATTTAACAAAAATTTTATCTGAAGGTTTCTGGAACGTCCTCATCAAATTGTTTTGTTGGGGTCGACCTTCGTTCTGGCGTCTCTCACTGAAGGATAACTGAGTCAGTATCCGTTGAATGTCATCAGGGATTTCTACATCAACTTTTTGTTCCATCAGTGAATTTATGAAGGCTCCAAGGGTCGCTATGGTAACATTCAGACCTCTACTTTGCATCTCTAACCTATTGAGCTGGGACTGTTGTAATGCTCTGGTTTTTTCCAGGCGATGAACATTGGCTACGGTAGATTCTAACTGACGCATAAGAAGTTGATTCTGATCACTCAACAATTTGTTTTGGGATTCAAGTTTATGCAGGGCTTCCACCTGTGGTTGTACGGAGGTCATTTCTTCTTGTAGAACCTGGTACTCGACTTTGTATTCGTTCAGTTGTTTGACGCAGTCCGTCGTGAAAACCTATAAAAATAGTGATGTAATCAACGAATCGATGAATTTGAGCTTTCTCATACCTGTTTCATCAGAATATCCAAAGTCGACCTATCAATCTTTGGCAATTGTACTTTGAGGTAGTTCATGATTTCTTCGAAACTATCGCAGACGAGTAACTTCTCTTTGTGATGAGAAAGAAGAGCCAGTGATACCCTGAATATGACTTCTGGCCCCTCCAAAAACATCAGATCTGGAATGAAAAAAGAAGAATAATTGAAGAAATTTGAAAACAATAAGGAGAAATGGCATCACAAAGTCAACTTCCAAAACTTGGGCATTGTTCCAAGATACAGTTTCTAAAATTATACAAAAAACTATGAGAAAAGGGTTAAAATCGACAATAGTACTGCAAATTATGATAATTTGAGAGTAAGATACCACATTGATAATGAATGTTGAATGCCAAATAAAAACCGATATAGAGAATTCGTGAGAAAAAAACCCTCTAGGTTTTCTACTTCTCCAACAAAATATTGAATTCAGCATTACAAATGTTTGGAGTACAAGTAGATGAGAACAAGTGAAATTAAGTAAATTCTGTGCTTGATCCACGCATCGTCAAAACAAGTTTCAATGGTTACATGGTTCCTTTTTTTCGATCTACCTCAAAATGGCAGCAGAAAGGATAGAGAGTGGATATAGAGATAGAGTGGAAAATGAGAAAGAATTACTTTGAGTCGTAATGACTGACCTTCTGTTTCCCAAGAAACATACAATTTGTTTATAGTAGAAAATATAACAAGTTAATGACATTCCAATAATAACTCAAACAATAACGACGATGTAACAGACAGAAAATCGAAAATATGAACGCTAGTAAAGAGTTCAGAGTTTTCACCATAAACCAAACCTTCTCTAATCCGTTAAAGATATATTTGAAGCTGTTTCAAAAATGTTTGTCCGTTTTTATGAGTCCACTTCAAACTGTAATATCTCAGTGATAACGTATACAATTAAATCGAAACAATCTCCATTTGAATCAGTATAATAATAATGATAATAATAACTTTATTCGTCTTTTAGATCATTTACATGATATAAGACATGTGATAAATAAAAATACGAAAATTATATGACACAATAATAACGGTCCACAGTATAACATAGCTCGGACACTTGGAAACAGATTCTTAACTATATACATATATAAAAACACACATACACACATATATGTATACACTTACATAAATATACATAAAGTAAATTTATCTTTAACTAGGATGAAAGAAATGCAGTGAAAGCAATAATCATGATAACAGTGTATCCCGTTCTAAAAATTCTTCTACGCTATAATATCCCTTATTAGTTAATAGCTCCTTCATTTGTTTTTTAAATGGTATAATATGCAAATCTNTAATATCCTGTTATTAACTTCTTTATTCTATTTGTATATCATCTTTTTTCCCTTCTGTAAATCTCGTCACTCACTTCTCCATCTACCATTCTTTTGTGCAATTCTCTCAACTGACTGCTTCCATTCTTAACTTCTCTCGTTACCCAACTTTTTTTTACTTTCTGTTTTTGTTTTACATTTATCCTATTTTTAGGACATGACACGTCAAGACACCAAGTCAACAATTCCTTCATAAAGGCCTCAAATGCATTATTTGTAGTAAGTCCACTTACACAAGTCCAATCATTATTACTTAGTCGTATTTTCTCATCTGAGAAAATACTTTTGCCAATGTAACACAAGTCGATTGATTAAGTCGATAATTAAAAATTGCGTGATCGGGAATCGATAAAGTCGTCGAAGGCCGTTTGTGACTGGTCTCAGGAAGTTCACTCCACATGCACGCAGTTCTCCAATTGAAAGAGTTCCTGAGCATTGAAGTTTGAGGTGTACTGAGTTGAACCTAAAAACGATGAGCAGAGAGACAAATCTTCAACCTTTTGTTTCGCACTATCAAGGTTGCAAGTGATCTTCGAGTGTCCAATCAGGCAGATTACTTTTTTCTGGATGAACTACAGCAGCTTCAAGGTATGCTTAGGGTCAGGGGCTCCATACATGTGAACAATTCTCCAAAGAAAATCTGATCTGAGCTTTATAAAGCATCAAAATATGTCAAGACATGCCTGTTGATCTTTGTTTCCGAAAGTCATACTGATCTCAAGATGTTCAAGCCTTTCAAATAGTCAAGAATATCTTGGTGTATGGCTTTCTCCATGATTTTTGATATCACTAATAGCAAAGATTAGTTTTAGGACCTCTGCCGATCGTTCAAATCGTGAAGCATCCACTTTTGCAGCTTTTTGACCCTTCCAATACCTTTCAAACCATCAAAATCACATGGTATCTGACGCCTAGTTCTTCCCATCATCCCACGCACCGTTTGTGATAGGCCAGTCTCCACCAGGTTCCTCAAATCCACGTCCTGGATTACTGTAGGTCGACCACTTTGGGGTACATTTTCGAAGCTAAAATCTCAGGAACGAAATTTCGTTGATTATTGTATAAGTTTGAAAATGTCCTTATAGGACGAAACTCAGTGACGTTAGTTACCAATAAAAGTGGTAAAAAACATAGAAAGTTCAATTTCTCTTTTCTTCATTATGATTTCCTACCACGTAGTAACGGCTACATGCATCAATTTATTGAAATCTGTTATTTCATGCAGAGGAAAAAAAAACGTCTTGCCGATATCCAGTTGGTGCAGGATACTATTGTCAATGAGCTGCATATCCTCTCTGTAATCCCCGCATCGTCCCTTCTTAGGACCTAGACTGATTACATATCGATAGCGTGCGAGTACTGTATCTCATCTTTATGGACTTTCGAAGATCCTATGTTTCAAAGGCCTAAAATCTCAAGTCATTGAATATTACTTGAGTTTCTATCGAAACACTAAATAGTTATTTTTAACACCTCGATGCGTGTGTCAACCACCAAGGGATCGTCTTCAAGAGGAAGAGTAAAACTCCAGTAATATTTATTACTGCACCAAAGGTAACAAACAGTGCATCACAAGTATCTGTAACTGTAGAGTAGGGAGAGTGAGTGTAGACCCACAGCGCTTAGGCCATATGTGACCCATTGTACATCCTCCCGAGGGGTTGTCCTCCTAGGTCATCGTCCATCCTGTTCTTTCCAGGAAGGTGGGCAGGTCACTAGGAAACTCCTTTATATTGGCTAAGACTTGCCCAACACACGCTCTTGAGACACCCTGAGGTGTCTCACGGTGGTCTCCGCAAAGGTTTTGGAAGGTGCAGCGACATTACTGTCATTGCGCAGCTGCTTCAACCTTCTTGGGGTTCTCTCCGTGGAGGTGCACAAGTGAGAAAGCTTTCCTGCAGGGGCAGCCCGTTCCTCACCTTCATTTAAGGCGGAGTTCTTGGCGCCCGCCGCAGGAAGTTCCCTTGCTGTTGGAGGTGAAGTGGGGGAGGAGAAAGGCGCACTTATAGTTGCTGCCACTCCTGCCTTTTCCGTTCTCTTTCTCCTTTTGGCCTTGGCGCCGCAAATGCGCTTACGCCTTGGCCTTTGTATTACATCACCAGGTGATCTGCTATGTGCAGCCTCATTCCAAGTGGTAGATTGGGGTGGACATTTCTGTTCAGTCCCAGCCACCACCTCAGATGGAGGTGAGTATCTAAAGTCATTCATTCAATACAAATGGGTGGCCATATGCCTCTGATCTCCGTCTCCGAGGAATGAAGAAAATTGTGAAATGCATAAAAAAGGCCCCGATTCTATCTCAATTTTTTTCCAGCCACAGAATGAATAACGTACTTCTTCAGATGGTCAATGGATCTATCCATTGTGTTACTGAAAGCGTTACATCTGAGTGTATAAATCACTTGATAGTACCATAATTTGATACGATTCAATAATGCTAAATGCATTCGAGCAATGAAATTTTCATTTGGCACTGGAATTTGATACTCACCAAAAACTCTAGTAACGAATCCCAGAGGAAACTGGGAAGCAAACACGGTAAGTAACCAAGGAGCGGCATACAATGTTGGAGCGACTTCATATGTATCAAAAAGGGTGTACAGTTCTGGAAGGTGATCTCGCACTAGCCTAGAGAGTTGGTAGAGTTTGATTTGAAGGCTAACCATGTCTGGTAGATACTGATTTCGCATTCCCCTTCTGAACATCAGATACTTCAGCAGCAAAAAGGCCTGAGATTCTTCCATCTGAAATATAAAAATTGAGAATCATGTCTTCTTCTTCTTCCTTTTCATTTATTATCACACGTTTTGAGGTGTGATGCTTACTTTTAAAAAATGAGGAGTATATGACTCACTATTTGAAGACATTTCCACAATTTTTCATAATTTACCAGATCTATTTGATTTTCGATACATTTATTTGAATTGATCGAAATCCTCAATATTTAAATGGAATAAATACTGTTGTAAATCATGCCCGAAAGAAAATGACGCCGGCCGCCACTGGTAACCATAAACCAAAACGTGACGTAGCTGAGAGCGTGGGAACATCCCATGTTACCTGCCGCTCGAGAAGCAGCAATAAACATGCTACCGATGTCGATGGAACTTCGGCAAAAATTCTACGATGTTCCATTGCGATATTTAAACGCTGGCTGCAAGCGTATTCGGACAGTCAAGTACACAGTGAAGCGGACGTTACAGTGCGGTACGCGAAGTGATCTAGTAAGGCGATAGACATTAAAATGATAGTTGAAATTTTCAGTTGAAGTGTTTGTTGTATTTAAAGTGAAATAAAGTTGAGTTTGATTATTCAGTGTAGTCAATTGGTGAACCCACGGGTAAAAACGTAACAATACCGTGAGTTCTGAAATAAACTAATGAGAAAACGGGCCGTGCAAAAAAAGGATAACTCTAATGATTATTATCAAATCATCGTTAGAATAATAACTATAATAATATAGAGAAATTAAATAATTGAATGAGTGAAAAAAACAAAGAATGAAATAGAAAGAAGAGGAACTCAATCACTACACATAGGTAGATACATTTCAGTTTGAAGCTAAGTTGGTCACTTTGAAAGAACGTATTCAAAAACCACTTCATTGTGAGATTTTCACTAAACGATTTTACAAAAATGCAACACATGTTTCGCCATACAATGGCTTCTTCGGACACGTTATCACATGCGCAGTTTCAGCTAAATTTATGTTGAAGTTATCGCATATTTGCTTACGTTTCGATTTGAATATACAGGGTGTTCCTTAAACACATGCTAATATTTAAGGAGGTAATTCTTAGGTAATTCTTAGGACGTTAGAAAAAAACGTCCTATGGACGTATGTTCTAAACGCCTTAACTTTTGAGATACAGGGTGGCAAAGTTTTCAAAAATAATCAGTTTTTTAATAATAACTGAGTACATAAAGTTTGAGGTCATCTATGTA